TGACACCGCTGAACCACCAACGACAATGGTGCGGCTACAAGGCAGCCCCGTTGCGCTGGCGGTGGCAGCTGTGCCAGGAGAGTTGGGTAACTCAGCTGCGAGATGTTTCACACATGAACCTTTGCTTGACACTCAGCGCAAGCTGACATGGACGTCTGCAGCTGGAATGCTGTATCGATGGCGGGATGCAGTCCATGGAATGGTAAACAGTTTTGTCCAATTAACATAGGTCTAGCGTCGTTTTGGCCAATGGAATAAAATCACGACACTTGAACTGGGATTATTGATATTTGAAACCAGACATTGGAAGTGGGATAGAGATAGTATCAAGTAAGAGTACAGCTCACACGGGTAGAGCATTGGGGTTACAGCCCAAAGGTTGCGGGTTCAAATCCCGCACAGGGTATTAGTTTGGGGAATAATGGGGGACAATAGAATGAGCACTGCTAGGACTGCGAAAGCGACCACGGTGTAAATATTCTGTTGTGCAACGTTACTTCGCGGATTGGTACATTCGGGAAGCCATAATTCCGGTGGATGAAATGTCACACTGTCCAACAGTTGAAGCAATCACCACCCAAGTCCCAGGGAGAAGTAACAGCACAGCAGCTCATTCGGCGAATAATCTTTTTTACTTTGTGACAAGCGACAGTAGTACTAGTAGTACTACTGTCACAAAGTAGTACTAGTAGTACTAGTTTAAAATTGTGACAATCCACAGTAACATGCGGCGACTATAACATAATGACAACATGATGATAGCATGATGACAGCATGATTGCTGTATCACTGACGTTATATCCCAAGGGATCGATCCCAATTTGTCCGCAAGCTGGAAATGGATGGGTCAGATGTTTTCTATTTCCGTCCTAACTGTTCAGGAATTTTGGTGTGGATTAGGCATTTTTTGTGTGGATTGTGTGTTGTGCTCGGCGAAGTTTGTGTGGAACTCGGGATTTGTATTGTGTTATTCGGGTCGTGTGTGTTTTTCGTTAAAATTTGTGTTTTTTTCGGTCGTTTCTGTGTGTATTTCGTTATTTAGTGTTTGTCAAAAAAAGGTCCTCGCTGTTGCTAATGCGTCTCGGTGGAAGGCTATTGAGTCCAGAGCCCTCATCAAGGATCAATCGGAAGCAGCGTGGTACACCATGTACGAGTCGCGCAGTATTCCGTCATTCATTGCCACGAAGTCGATACCACCGGACGACTTTGATGACCTGCTTCGTGTCTTTTCTGTCAACTACACAGTCTGTTCCGGACCTGGGCGTCGTGAAAGGCCGCCGAGAGTGCAACAGACGCATGCTGTCCTCGCAATGCTCCTCCATTACTATACGGCTGCTGTTGAGCACAAAACATTACAAGAGCTTTTCGGTGTGTCGCCAACTACATTCTCCCGTGTGCTGCGTCGAGCAGAAGTGGCGCTGGACCGTGCATTGTCCCACATGCAGGATTCTGCTGTTCGTTGGCCATCAAAGGCCTTGCAACGGGACTGGGCTGTCTTGACGAACGCAAAGGAACCCCTCATGGAAGGTGTGTTTGCCTTTGTGGACGGCAAAAACTATCGTGTGCAAAGTCCTTCCAACGCAGACCTGCAAAATGCCCATTACAACGGTATGCTCCCCGTGACTGAGTGTGCTAATTGCATTGATAGGGTGGCTGCATTGTGTTTATGTGATGGGATGTCTGTGTTTCGGTGTCGATGGCACTTTGATTTGGGCTCGACACAACTGCCCAGGCTCATGGAACGATGGCGAGGTCAGCTGTCACCTCCAAGCACGTGTGTCTGACGAGCGTTTTGTTGCTCCGGGGATGAAGATTGCCTCCGTTTCGGCATTCCCTGTTAGTGGTCGCTGCTCTGGTCGGATTATCACCCCACTGAAAGAAGGTGACCTCGATCGCAACCCTCCATGCGACCGGTTGGCTCTGCAGACAATGAGTGACTGCATAACATCTCTCAGGCAGGCTGCAGAGTGGGGAATGGGCGCGACTGGAAAGGTCTACCGCCAGTTGTTGCTACCCCTACC